TCTGTATGTCCTTTATGGACATACCCTCTGTCCCTCTAACCCCCCCTCAGTGTCAGTGCAGGGACCCCACCAGCGCTTCCTGCTCAGGGAGCTGCTGAGAGACTACAATCCCATGGAGAGGCCGGTGGCCAACGACTCCCAGACTCTCACTGTTCAGTTCTCCTTCACTCTGATGCAGGTCATGGATGTGGTATGACACGCACACACACACACACACACTAATCCAAATAATGGAATGATTAATATGGAAAAATGTCAGGAAAAAATATAACTAAAATTCTAGTGGCTCTATGCTAAGAAAATAAAACAATAAATCAGTGCAATTCCTAGTGTGGCACAAATAAAAAAATAAATAAAAAGGTTAAATTTAATTTTCTTCTTTCTATAGCTCTGTGCCTCCTAAGGGCCCCACCCCCTGTTATGAGAACCACTAAATTTAATACAGCAACAAAAAAGGAGGACAAAAAACATGCTTGCATATATTTATAGAGCACAAAAAACATGCTTGCATATATTTATATTTGCATTATATTTACAGTACTAAATTGTAACAAAAACACTTGAATTTTAAGTGAACATAAATGTGAGTTTAACCCGTGTGAAATCAAATAAATTCATGTTAAGACTAATGTATTTTAGCATGTGTTCCCGTGTTTATTGAGTTGCAGTTAAAATAGAAACATAAAGCCAGAACTTTCCACAAACTGTCACTTGATTCCCAGATTGTTGAAGCTGCCGGAGCCCAGGTTGAATTTTAATGTGCGTCACATGTTTACATACAGCCCGGGGACTTTCTTCTTTAAGCACAAACCCAGCCGCCTCTCCTTGAATAATTAAGTCTCTCGTTTGTTTTGTTTTTGTGCTTTGCAAAGGATGAAAAGAACCAGATCCTCACCACCAACGCTTGGCTGCAGATGGTGAGTATAATGAAAAACTCTGATAACGTTGTATTGATCTGCGTGATGAAAACCGTTTTTTCGGGCCTGCCTGTCATTCTGCACCGGAGCAGATGTGCTCCATTGTCTTTATAGTCAATTTATGAATCAATATGGCCCCTGCCACATTCTTTGACAACATTAAAAAAAAACAAAATGAAAAAAGTCAACAGACGACAAGATAAAGTGATAAAAAGACGTCTCCAAGAAACAGTAAACCTGGGTAAACGAATCAAACAGTGACTTTTGATAAAACCCGTCTCTTTGTCTACGTGATTTTCACCTACGTGTTAAACCAATCATTGGTTTGGGTTTTCCAGCAGTGGTACGACCACTACCTGCAGTGGAACCAGTCAGATTACCCTGGAGTTAAGAACCTTCGTTTCACCCCGGACCAGGTTTGGACCCCAGACATATTACTGTATAACAGGTAAGACACAGAAGGATCTATTATGAGCTGTAGCCCATGTCCTTAGTGCATAAGGTTGCTTAAATATTTTTATCATCTTCAGTGCCCACGATAAGTTCGATGCTACTTTTAAGACCTATGTTCTGGTCAACTCCAGTGGCTTCTGTGAATATCTGCCTCCAGGTGAGTGTTGAAGACTGTGCGCATGGATAAATTCAAACTGCTGTGCCGTCGTGGGCGATCATCAGTTGTGCCATGGAAATTTTCACTTCTGAAAAACTATTGTTTTTTTACTGCAAATAATTTGCCTTAGTTCATCAAAACGATGAGAGCCAAAACAATTAAATACTCTTCCACTAGGTGGCAGCAGGTAGCTATGACAACAAAAAAAGTTTTGAAGAAGATTGTGCTTGTCTTTCTTCAATTCCTGCGAGTATATCAGGGTTGTGTTCAACTAAACGGACTACTCAAAATGTATAGCTTTTCTAGAATAAAAAAAAAAGTCAAAACTAAAGTAAAGACTTTCTATCTTTCATAAAATAATTTCATTTCATTAAAGCATCTCAAGCTCAAAATTCTCTTTCCAACAATTAGTAAACATCTGATCTTAGGTTTTCTGACCAATTCAATCTATTAATACCATCATACTTGACATGGATGACATTTTTTATTCCTTTTCAACTGACTATTTCCCCCATCTTTTTTTTAATAGGAATCTTTGTCAGCACATGTAACGTGGATGTCAAGTGGTTCCCATTTGACATCCAGCGATGTGAGATGAAATTCGGTTCCTGGACATTTGATGGTTGGCTCCTGGACATCCAGATGAAGGAGGCTGACGTATCAGGATACATGCGTAACGGAGAGTGGGACCTAATTGGTAAGACTGACTAAAAAGACTGATTCTTTTTCTGACTTGGTCTTCCTATGTCCAAGAATTTTTTTATCTACTTTTGCAGAAAATACACAGTACTTAAGAGTGGTTTTTTTCACCTTCATTCTGTTCTTTTTGGTTCGTCTGCCTCGTCCACACAGAGGTTCCTGGCGACCGTCATGAGGTTTTCTACGACTGCTGCACAGAGCCTTACCCTGACGTTACGTTTGTGGTGACCTTACGGAGGAGGACCCTGTATTACGCCCTCAATCTCCTCATCCCGTGTGTGCTCCTCTCTTCCATGACCTTGCTGGTTTTCCTGCTTCCTGCCAACTCTGGGGAGAAGATCAGCCTGGGTGAGGAGAAACACAACAGGTGTTGGAAGGAAAACGTAGTAGAAGAGATTAAAATGATGAAGAAATTTAGCGGTACATTCTCAGTCTTTCCACTTTAAGATATCGTTGAGCTGAAAAGTGTTTTGTGTGACCCACCCCCACAGATGGAAAATCATTGGCCACCGTAGAGTATTTGCACTTTTCTAATCCCCTGACTGAGCTGCTGACTGAAGAAGAAACTAGAAATAATTAAAGACATGGTCTTAAAAATACCATGTGTATTTATTCTATACGTGCATTTGTTAGAAAGGAGTGTAGGAAGACAGGAGCGGTGGAGGAAAGGGATGAGGCTGTGAGTCAGCTCTACAAAAACCAGTGACTCACCCATCATCTAGAAGGCCTTTTACTTTCAATATCATCTCTACCAACCAGCAACGGCTAGCCAATCAGAGGAACAGCAGGCCTGTGTCCTCCTACTGTTTGATGCTGCAACCTGAAAACAATAAATACAGGAGTAGTGTCAAAAAAAAAAGAAGAAAAAAATGAAAACCAAACCAAAAAAAAACCCCAGAGGCGTCAGTTTTTCGCTGCCAGTTTCCAGAAAAACGAGCCAGAAAAAATTAGCTGACTTTGCACCTGTGGGTGTGAGTGAAATTTAAAAAGTACCGTAGGAGTCCGTTAAGACCGACTGATGTTGGACAGAAGCCAGGTGTAGAATATCAAACGCCCTGGTCGACTCCTTGTTTGTGTTCCAGGCATCACGGTGCTGCTGTCTCTGACCGTCTTCATGCTGATGGTTGCAGAGATTATGCCGGCAACGTCAGACTCTGTGCCATTGATCGGTCAGTTACTGTATTTTTTTTAATTTTTTGTATTTCTCCTGTTAATACACATACGTATTGTGCAGTAATGTTTTGGTGTCAAATGTGTTCTTTTTCAGGTCAGTACTTTGCCAGCACCATGGTGATCGTAGGGATGTCCGTCGTAGCTACAGTCATTGTTCTACAGTTCCATCACCATAAGGTCAACAGTGGGCCGATGCCACGCTGGGTGAGTTACAGACCTGCCACCCTGGAGGGTGCACAGCTGCCGTAAGTGCAGAGGGATGTCCGATAATATCGGACGACGGACACTATTGGCCCGATATTAGCATATTATGTAATATCTGTAAGAATCGTTATCCTCCGATGATGAAAACACGATAATGCAATGCCTGGGTTTCGCCAAATGATGTGTGCCCTAAAAATAGTTTTGGAGATAAATGGCAGTATATTAAAGTGAAAGTCACTAGATGGCAGCATTGCAGCTCATTTAATTAATCTCATACTCATACGGTGGGTTGTACAGATAAATACATAAATATATTTAGGCCTATCTTGGTGGATATCGGAATCGGATAGTAAATGTTTGGACAATATCGGATATAGGCAGAAAGTTAACATCGGACATCCCTAGTCAAATCATACAACAGAAGAATTCTAGGCTAAAGTAGGAAATGCTATAGGATATTGTGGATTATTAGGTTCAGAGACGGTCAAGAACGCGACTGAAGAGAAAACACATGCTAAGTTCTCTGAACAGAAACACGAGGACCATGTGAGAAAGTCAGGCATAAGAGTACATGAGGGTGGTGTTCCACCACCCTCATGTACTTGATTAATAAGATTTTTCATTAAAAGTAACAATGAATTGGTGCTGAAAAAAATCAGCTCCTCCGTCTGTCCATCAGGTCCACTTGGTTCTGCTGCAGTGGGTTCCTTGGTTCCTGCGAATGAAGCATCCAGGTGAGGCAGGCGATCCTCATCTTTCCAACAACCAGACCGACTCTCACACCAAGCCCCTTTCCTCTCCTGCCACCACCACCACCACTACCACCACCACCAACACCATCACTCCCCCACTGCCTTCCATCCTCCCCCCCAGCCTCAACTCCCTGCAGACCAACTTTGCTCAGTTCAGCCACACTCTGCCTCACCCAGCTCCCCACAGGCCCAACTCTCAGGCCATCCTTATTCCTAATCCCAGTCACAGAGATCCCGGCAGCAACCCACACTCCCAGCTGAACGGTCATCTGCCCTACATGGGCTTTCAAATCATCCAGACAAATGTGGAGGTGGAACCGTTTCAGCGGAGTAGAACCATGAGTCGCGGGAGAAACAACACGGCAGAGGAAGGAGCTGGGGCAGAGGAGGGAGATGAGGGCTCACCAGAACCACACCACATCCACACCATGAAGTTTGGACGATCTCCCCAAGAACTGTCTCCAGACCCGGATGCATTAACAACCTGCGGCCCCGAAGAGGGCGGCGCTGGGGCCGTGAGGCCAGCCGCCGCGCTGACCCACGGCGGCGTGGCTCCTTCAGCGGCGGTGGACAGCCAGCTGCAGGCTCTGCTGGTGGAGGTGCAGTTCTTAGTTGAACGAGTCCGAGAGCAGGACAGGCAGCTGAGCGTGTCAGAGCAGTGGCAGTTCGCTGCTGCCGTTATCGATCGCCTGTGTCTGGTGGGATTCAGTGTCTTCAACATCATTTGTACCATCGCCATTCTAATGGCTGCGCCCAACTTTGGTGAAGCTTTATCCAAAGACTTCCTCTGAGAGGAGGAGGAAAAAAAACAAACTGGACAGTGGAGCATGAGGCTGGTAACGATCTGCTGGAAGCACAACGAGTTCTAGAGGACACCAGGGGGCGTGTCAACAGCATTTCTACCATTTTTTTTTCAGACTGTCGAACACGTGGCCTGGTCTAGAGAGTTTTTTTTTTCTCCGTTCAGATTTTATTCGAGTCCGGTTTGTGGAGTAAATCTTTGCCTGACTGGAAAATATATACTTTGGAGAATGAGCGTTAAAAAGTAGTTTTACTAGATTTGTAAAGTATTTGTAATATTTTTGACATGCAACACAAAGTTTTTCACTAAAGTCTTGCATGTAAAAATGAAGAGTCTGTACATTTTCATTGGATGAAAATCTCTTTCTCTGTGTGGATGACTGAGGACTGAGGTTTATCTTCAGTGAACTCCTGAACTGATCTCAGGAGATAAATAACCAGAGACACTTTCTGCACCTCTAGGACTGAGGTCCCAAACCTTTCGATCATGACGAAATAAAACAGTACGACTGAAATAAAACAAATATATAGACCAGGAAGTATAACTCACCCTGACATAGAGAATCATCTGCTACAACACAGAACTATTTTAAATAGAATAGAAGAACACATGATTAAAACCTTCAGGAAAACGACGGCTCTGATAGAGGCTTCAATCCAACGTACCTTCAGTCTGAAGATGGTTCAATACAGCTGGAGTTTTTCCTGCCACCGTGTTCCAGCACAGTTTTTATCCTTGGAGTATCTTGTTAGTTTATGAAGTCTTCTGGCTTCTGAGGATAAAGTTATACCAAGGCGGCTCCGTGGGTGTGTGATGAGAAGTTGGATTTTCTTTTTCTTTTTTTTATTCACTGCACAGAATTGAGTATGGATTTTAGGTGAGTGAATTATCACTGTGAACAACAAACAAAATCCATTACAAAACAAAGACGTTATGTCTCTGAGTGGTTGCTAACTTACCATGTCAAGGTCGGCATTCTATTCACAGGACTTTTTCCCTGACAGTTTCAGCTGCTACAGAGGCTGAACTAAAAGAAGAGAATGAAGAAAAAATAGTAAACCATAAACCAGGATGAGTTGGTTTAAACTAAGTGTATAAATGTGTAGCAGTTTCTATATTTGCCAAAATAAAAAAAAGCTAAAAAGTAGCTCAGAGGTGACACACAAATTTGATTGGCTGGTAGTGGCTGTAAGGAGTGACCTTCAATATCGCCCACTTGAAAACAGAGGAGAACCCCGGGAGAGACTTTCAACTTGTTTCAGGAACAAAACAGGAAGTGGAAATAATTTTCAAGGACATTTGAGTTTTTTCTTCTCTTTTTTTTAATTTTTAATTTGGTCACTCATTTTCCAGGTTTTCCAGGTTTTCCAGGGTGTGTGGTTACCATGGAGCTTTGCTGCTCTTTTTTTCCTCCATGTTTGCCTTTTCTCCCCGGGTGTGCGTGCGTGTGTGTGTGTCTGTGTGTGGGTGTTTCTCCCCCAGTCCAGACGCGCAGGAAATATATTGTCTTGTCTTTTTATACTCAGCAGACATGCTTCAAATGTTGTATTCACTGCTTCTGCCTCAAGGTTTAAAAAAAAAAAAGCAGGCAGACACAGAAGGTAGGAGAGGAGGAACGGAAAATGAAGAAAAAGAATAAATAAGAAGAAAAGAAAAACCTGATGGATTAGAGACAAGGAGGTGAGATGGAAAAAACAAACATCAGGATGGAGGCAGAGAAATGTGCTGACACGCCAAAACTGGCTGATATCGTTTTTTGAAATGATTATTAATGTGTAAGAGAGAGGAGGAGGAGGAGGAGGAGGAGGGGGAGGAGGAGGAGGAGGAGTTGAAGCCTCCTCAGATCTTTTTTTTAAAGACTTATTCTTGGCCTTTTATATTGACTGATGACTGATACAGTCCAACAAACAGAGTTTTTTTCTAATTGCCGTCTCGTCATGACTTGACTCTAAACTTCATCTCTCAGTCTCTACATTTGCTTTTTCAGTTTTGTTTTCTGCTGCTGAAGCCGCTCGCCACTGGGAGAAACTCATTATGCATTTAAATGTCACACTGAGCTCCTTCTGTCTGTGTTACCGGTGAGGCTGCTGAGAGGTGCAATACAGCACAGGTAATAAATCTGAGAAACTGCTCTGCTCCTCCACCTCCTCCTC